GTGGGGGCGCTTTGCTCTCCCTCTTCAACTCCCCTGTCTGCAGTCCCCTGTCCGCTTCGCTCCCCTGGTCGCACTGCTCTGGCTTTTTAAAGCCTGCTTGCCTAGGTCAGGCCTGCCCCCTTCTGAGTCACACAGGGGAAGGCTGAGCCTGAGGCTAATCAGAGGCAATCAAGGGAACAATGGCAGGCTCTCAGTCCCAACTGCCACAGAAGCTGAAACTGAAACTGCTAGCACTCCCTGGAATCAGACTCAATTCACACTTCAAACTGTAAAATTCAAACAGTCAGGCACACACACACACTCACACCACAGCTTGTACTCTCACCGGGTAGCCTCTTCGGCGGTGGGGGCGCTTTGCTCTCCCTCTTCAACTCCCCTGTCTGCAGTCCCCTGTCCGCTTCGCTCCCCTGGTCGCACTGCTCTGGCTTTTTAAAGCCTGCTTGCCTAGGTCAGGCCTGCCCCCTTCTGAGTCACACAGGGGAAGGCTGAGCCTGAGGCTAATCAGAGGCAATCAAGGGAACAATGGCAGGCTCTCAGTCCCAACTGCCACAGAAGCTGAAACTGAAACTGCTAGCACTCCCTGGAATCAGACTCAATTCACACTTCAAACTGTAAAATTCAAACAGTCAGGCACACACACACACTCACACCACAGCTTGTACTCTCACCGGGTAGCCTCTTCGGCGGTGGGGGCGCTTTGCTCTCCCTCTTCAACTCCCCTGTCTGCAGTCCCCTGTCCGCTTCGCTCCCCTGGTCGCACTGCTCTGGCTTTTTAAAGCCTGCTTGCCTAGGTCAGGCCTGCCCCCTTCTGAGTCACACAGGGGAAGGCTGAGCCTGAGGCTAATCAGAGGCAATCAAGGGAACAATGGCAGGCTCTCAGTCCCAACTGCCACAGAAGCTGAAACTGAAACTGCTAGCACTCCCTGGAATCAGACTCAATTCACACTTCAAACTGTAAAATTCAAACAGTCAGGCACACACACACACTCACACCACAGCTTGTACTCTCACCGGGTAGCCTCTTCGGCGGTGGGGGCGCTTTGCTCTCCCTCTTCAACTCCCCTGTCTGCAGTCCCCTGTCCGCTTCGCTCCCCTGGTCGCACTGCTCTGGCTTTTTAAAGCCTGCTTGCCTAGGTCAGGCCTGCCCCCTTCTGAGTCACACAGGGGAAGGCTGAGCCTGAGGCTAATCAGAGGCAATCAAGGGAACAATGGCAGGCTCTCAGTCCCAACTGCCACAGAAGCTGAAACTGAAACTGCTAGCACTCCCTGGAATCAGACTCAATTCACACTTCAAACTGTAAAATTCAAACAGTCAGGCACACACACACACTCACACCACAGCTTGTACTCTCACCGGGTAGCCTCTTCGGCGGTGGGGGCGCTTTGCTCTCCCTCTTCAACTCCCCTGTCTGCAGTCCCCTGTCCGCTTCGCTCCCCTGGTCGCACTGCTCTGGCTTTTTAAAGCCTGCTTGCCTAGGTCAGGCCTGCCCCCTTCTGAGTCACACAGGGGAAGGCTGAGCCTGAGGCTAATCAGAGGCAATCAAGGGAACAATGGCAGGCTCTCAGTCCCAACTGCCACAGAAGCTGAAACTGAAACTGCTAGCACTCACCTGGAATCAGACTCAATTCACACCACTTCAAACTGTAAAATTCAAACAGTCAGGCACACACACACACTCACACCACAGCTTGTACTCTCACCGGGTAGCCTCATGATGGAAGGTGTCTTTGGCTGTTTGAAAGGGAGGTTCCACTGCCTTCTCGCCAACCTGGATCTCAGCATGCAGAACGTCCCCAAAGTGATGGCGGCCTGCTGTGACCTCCACAATATATGTGAGAACAAGGTGGAGACATTCCTGCCAGGGTGTAGGGCAGAGGCTGAGCCAGTTGGCCAGGACCTTTGAACAGCCATGCATGGCTGACATCTGGGCGCATCCAGGAGATCCTGAGGAAGAGTTTCAGACAAGGATACCAGTGAGACTCTCCCCGGACCTCCCTACAAGGGTCCTTTGCATTGCCCCGTGTGCCTCTCCTCCACCACACCTCCCTTTCTCTGCCCTTCCTTCCTCTCCATCCCCTCCCCTTCATCTGTTGATAAAATAAATTAGACCTTTTGTTTTGAACCAATAAACTTTGTTTTTTGTTTAACTGGGGTGAACGTAACTGGGGAGGGACTGGAGGAAGAACCTTGGAGAGGGGAGGAGAGTGGTGGGTGGAGGAGAGACTCAGGGGTAGGCCTGGGACTGGCACTTCCCTTTGGTGGTCCTATCACTTCATGTGTGGGCCCTTCACAGCAACAGGGGGTGGGAACTGGGGTGGGAGCAGGAGTGGCCACCAGGCAATTGATGGCAGCCATGTAAGCTGTGCACGTAGTCCAGGCCTGGTGCAACAGCTCCTTCTAGGTGTTGCGGTGCAGCTCCAGGTCAGCCTCCAGTCTGTGGGCTTGCTGGCCAGGAGACTGCTGTAGGGCACACAGGCAGTGATGTGCTCCTGCTGCAGGTCTTCCTGGGGTCATCTTTGCCATCAGATACTACGGGGTTGGGAAGCTGATACAGGAGGTGTGGCTCATGCTGCACTCACAGCTGATCCATCTGTGAAGAAAAGTGAGAAGGGCAGTCATCCCAGGAGACAGGGTGCATGAAGCCTTGCCCTCATTTCTGAGGTGACTCCGAAAGGCCTTGTGTCAGATGAAGGTGATATACTTGGAGCAAGGCCATCTGTGGCCTGGACCCTTTCCTGCAGGGGCACAGATGTCCCAATGTGGGCCACGCTACCCCTATGCTCCCGGGACAAGCAGGCCTGGGAAGGTGTCAGCCAGGATGGGAGCCTGTGGGTGGAAGGGGGGTGACAAAGTGGCTCAGCTTCCCTCCATGCTGCACACACGCTGGGGTCCAGTAATGGCAGTGTCCCACAGGCAGAAGACTTGTATCCCTGCCCGCTGGAGGAGGAGGGGAGGGTATTGGGGAAGGTTTGTGTGGGCTGCGAACACTGCTTGCTGGGGAGGGTGCTGTTGGAGTCCCCTCCAGTTCTTCCCTCTCACCAATCTGGCAGGCTCCGCTGGCAGGGGACCAGTGTCCTCTGCCTTGCCACACTGGCCCAGGAGCACATGGTGCCCCGAGAGTGTGGTATGCTGTATGCGTCCATGGCCCTAATCTCCATAGTGGTGGCTTGTGGTGGGGAGGTGTCCCACCATGGGGTGGGGAGCAAGACAGGCCTCTCCAGAAAACCTGTGAGCAGGAGTGTAAGGTTCCTGAGTGGCTGCCTCATTGTGGCTGTCTGCTCTGGACTGGCGCTCCATGTGCACAGGCTGCTGATCCCCAGACTGAGAAGGCTGGACGAGGAGTGCGCAGCCCCTCGTCACCCACTGCCTCTCCCCATGTGTGTCCAGGAAAAGTAACGCAGCTCACCTGATGGGCCTTCCCTGGCATCGCCAAGCCCTGGGTGACATCCTGGGCAGGGGTGTGTGTGTACCGGCTCCATGGACAGGCAGACCTCTTGGCTAGTGGGCATGGTGTCTATGGTGGCCCCCTCCTCCTCCTCATTATCCTCCTCCATAGCCATGCCCTCTGGGAGGCTGATGAGTTGGTGTCTAGGTTGGAGATGATGATGAAGGGAGGAGAGATGACCTGCTGTAGTAGCGGCATACGTGAAGTGCCACCCCAGAGCAGGAACTTTCCTCTCTGGCCTTTGTGTTAGCCTGCTGGAGTTCTTTTATTTTCATTTGCACCTTGTCATACTGCAACTATGTCCCCTCTGGAGCAGGCTATTGATCATCCAGACATAGATGTCCGCATTTTGCAGTCTGACATCAAGATCCTGGATGTTGGAACATTCCCGCCAGATCTCAATGAGATTCAGGATCTGCACGTCAGTCCATGAAGGTGCCCTCCTCTTTTTCCCCAGGCAGAGTCTTGGGAGGTGGCTGCCTACTTCCTTGCAGCTGTGGGGGGCTCAGAGGGAGCATGGGGATCCGTCATGGCAGCAGCAAAAGCAGTCAGGGCTCTGCTGTGTGGCACGGCATGAGCTGGGTCTGCTTTTGCCACAAACCCTTTTCCCTGTGGCTTTGAAACTATAGAGTTCTGATGCGTGTAGGCAGAGTGGCCACTGCACCTGTGAAAATCCTTGCAGGGCACTTATTTCGAAATAACTTCAGATGCACTGTCTGCATACGCCCTATTTAGAAACAAGCGTTATTCCTCGTAAACTGAGGGTTACAGAAGTCAGAATAAGAATCCCGTTATTTCAAAATTATTTCAAACTAACGCGCTTGCTGTGTAAACGTTCACTTTGTTATTTTGAAATAATGCTGCTGTGTAGACATGCTCTGAGAGACTAACAGATTTGTTAGGGGAAGCTTTTGTGAATAAAATCCACTTCATCAGATGAACTGGAGTGGAATTTAGAGGGTGTGTGTGGGGGGAGGGGGTAAAGAAAGAGGGTACTTGTGTAAATGAAGCTAATTGAGTCAGAATGGAAGTGGATGATTCACAGCAGTTGATGTGGAAATATGGATATCAAGGGAGGGGAAATTGCCTTTGTAATATGTTAACCAGTTGAAATCCTTATTCAGATTTAGGATTGAATAAGGATTTTAACTAGTTAATACATTACAAAGGCAATTTCCCCTCTCTTGATAGCCACATTTCCACATCAGCTGCTGTGAATGAGCCACCCTGATTTGATTAGCCTCACTTACACAAGTACCTTCTTTCTTTAGTTGTCTCTACCCCTGCTTCTGTAAACTCCACTCCAATTCATCTGATGAAGAGGGTTTTACCCATGAAAGCTTATGCCCTAATAAATCTGTTAGTCTCTAAGGTGCCACAGGACTCCTCTAACATGATTATATTTATTAGGAAAGTAGTTGATCTAAACAGTAACTGATGTGATAAATGATAATATGCTCAATGAACAATTATACATAAAAATATATCGTTAACACTATCCAAGTTTCTGCATAATGTGTACTCTAACAGAACATATTTTCTTCTATGAAACAGGCTCAAAAATAAAGAGGTTGGTGTATCCACTGAGCTTCATGGGCATTGGTGCCTCCCTATATTATCCACAACAGGCTGTTACAGTTGCAAAGGTCAGTGGTTACATTTTTAGATGTCGGAAGCCTACGTGTGGAAAGCCTATTTTACTTCCTGTCACTTATTTCTTCATTGCTTCAAATTAGTTGGTAAACCATTTTTATTTAAGGGTTGTCTGTGTGCTTTACCTTCATAGAATGAAGACAGATACCTTTCTTCTTTTATGGAGCTTTCATTTTTATATTGGACATAAAACTGGTTGATCAAAGTAATTTAAATCAGCAAGCAGGGCACCTTGATTCAAATAGTCAATTTTAATTGTGTTTTGCATTTGTACTGTTACTTTTTTAAAGAAAAGTCCATCCTCATTGGTAAGTATTAAAGCATAGTGATCTGCAACTATCTATAATATTTACATTAAATTTGGTGCTTGTTTTTATTCACTAATGGGATACTCAGCATCTCTACACACTTATGTAAGAAATTATAGAACTTGAATTTATTACATTTTTTCTTGGGGTAGAAAATGGTGAATGATGCATTTATGTATTAGATGATTAATTTGACTGTGATTCATGTTAAACGCTATTTGAATTGTGCTCTATCGACTAATCAAATAGTCAGTGCAAAATTCATCGACTATTACTTGCAATTTGACATTCCTAGTCTCTTGTAGACCTTGTAAAATCTTGAATTTCAGAGTGGAACGGATTCTGGTTAACTGGGAAACAATGAGAAAGTGTTATGATGTTATGTGGATAGGTTTGTGCACTGGATAAATGACAAGCACATAGCGCTTGTATAAACATCAGTTCAATGTGTTTTTGAATGCTTATTGCATTTAAAGTCGCTGGATCTTTCTATATCTTCTCTGGAAGTATACTTAGTAGCAGGAGCAGCACATCATGTATTTATAGATAACAAATCTGTCTTTGCAAATGATACCGTTCAGAAGTTTATGGAAAGTGTGGGCAGTATGTGTCCACCATTAAGGCCTTGGTTCCAGGATAGGAACTCAGCTTAAACTTAATACAACTCATGGATCCACCTCATGAGTCCCTGGCATGTAGTTCTTTGTTTCATTGATCTGTTAAGCCTCTTTTTACATTGCCAGTATTTCAGCCAGACAAGACAGCAAGTCATACGCCTTCATGGCAGACCCCCCCCTCATTCACTATCCTTCATAAAGTTATTCTTAGACTTCATCGCAGATATCTTCCCAGAGTGGTTTCTGAATGTTATATTAATTAAGCAGTTATCTTGCTGGTTTTCTTTCCTAGACCTCATACCCATAAAGGGAATCAAAATTGCATACCTTAAGCATAAAAAACAATAAATAGTCTTGCAGCACCTTAAAGACTAACAAAACATGTAAATAGCACTTACAACTTTAGCTTACTTTCTTAATAGGGACTAAAGAGTTTCCATCCCTAAACTTTTTTAGTTCCTGTGCAGACAACCCTAAACACTTGCTATTTCTTTAGTTGTTATCTAGGTGGGTTAGATGGTATAAAGAAGAGGGATATTGGATTACATCTGTTTTACTGCAGTGAGACCACAGTTACCTCATTGTAGATGTAGCTATTTCTGTCTCAGACATTTTACCATGGAAGGTTGCCAAAGGCTGCTCTAGTTGTATCTTTATAAAACACTATTCCAGGGCTGGGCAATAATTTTTTAAGAGGAGCCACTTCAGGAATTTGGTAAATGTTCACGGGTCACATTTTTCTGCGTGATTAATGGAGAGGATGTGAGGGTTTAGGAGGGAGTTTGGGTAAAGGAGGGGGTTTTGACCTGGGGCAGGGGAATTGGGATGCGGGGTCTGAGAGGGGCTATGGATGCAAGAGAGGATTCTGACCTAGGGGAGGGATGTATTAGGAGGTGCAGGATCTGAGGGGGAGGATTGCAGGAGGGGGTGCAGCAAGTTTGGCTTGTGACCTGGATGCAGAAGAAGACTGCAGGCTCTGGCCGGGAGGCGCTTACCCTAGGTTGCTCTCAGCCACCAGCCCAGTGAGATCCTCGGGCAGGCTCTCTGCCAGTCACACCCCCACTTGCCGCTCAAAGTGGCAGGTTGGTGGGACCAATGTGTGTGTGTCTGCACAACATGTGCCCTGAGGGGAGATGAGCTTTGTGAGCTACCTGTGCCTGTAAGCATGACCAAGGCAGCTCCCATTGGCCTATTTCCAAAGGTTTAAGCGATGCACATGCTGGTCTCAACCGCCGGCTGCTTTGAACAGCATATAGGAGATGCCTGAGGATCCTGCTGTGCCATTGGCAGCCAAGAGGAGCATGGCAGGCTGGATCCGTAGGCTGTATTTTGCCCACCTCTGCACCATTCCCTAGATCTGGCATTTAGATCAGGTCCTCAGTTCAGTAGGGCAGCATTCCAGTTCTTAGTCATGAGAGTTCCCCATATCAATTCATGGAGTATTAATTACGAAACTCGTCACTGGATAAGACTATATAGAGGACACTCAAAGAAGAAATGGAAGTTAATCACTTGTAACCAGACTTCTTTGAGAGGGACTCTGCATATGCACACTCCTTCAGCCCTCTTTCTCATTGTCTTTGGAGTTGGACAGGATGGAGGGGGTAGAGTATCCCTCCCTCTCTGAAGGCTGAGGGAACAGGGTAGATAGATAAGCACTCTAACAGGCAGTGCTGTGGGAAGATAGCAGCACCAAGACAGCACATCCCATGAGTGTGAATATGCAGTCAATTTCTAAGAACTCTGGTTATTGAAACTACCACTTCTGTAGCTTGCTAGTTGGGATTGGAGAAAGGGGGTTGGAGGAGGAAGTTGAGATCTTACTTCCACTTTTCCTTCTATTCCACCCCTCTTGTCTAAAACAGTCCTCTTACACTCCCCATTTCTGTATTTCCTTTCCTCATTTTATGTGTTGGACTGTGTGTGTATCAAGAAGAGATTTTAGAAAAGCAAATATATAGTTTTGTAGAGATGTTTTTATTTAAAACAAACCGTTCTAAAAGCCCAATCTAAGTTTAAGATTGATTGGCAAGACATAAATAAAATTAACTTGGTCTTCTGTTTCATAAATGTGAGTCCTTTAATTTGGGAACAATCAAAACTTCCCAGTTCAAACTTCAATGCTTTTCTAACATGGCTTTTTGGAAAAAGGTGTTTTTGTTTGTTTTTGTTTTTAAAATGTGTATTATACTGTATTGAATAGTTTACCATTCTGAACTTACTTGGGTGTCAGAGTCCTGATGTTTGTACACTCTGTTGAATATTGCCAAATACCTAAAAATGAAAAGGAGCACATTTTCTCTATCAGAAAGCCTCAGTTAAGAGATAAGTTAGCTCATGAAAAGAACTAGGAACTATACTGAGCAGAGTACAGGGTATGGTTGTGATACAGATCCTGCATATCTGGCTATGAGGAAAAATCATATCCCTTTCAGTTACAGTGTTTGTTGAATGAGGTGCATGGTGACAAGCTCTAGAGTAGACCACCAGGAACACAGGAAGTACAGTAGCAGTTTGACCTGTTCCATGGCTGCTCTACAAGTTAAATGGTTAAACTTAATTAATGGTCAAGGATAGTTTCCAGGCATTACTTTCTGTAATGGGAAATCTAAAAGACTTTCTCCGTGCACCATTCTTATGGAGAACAAACTTGTAGCTATTTAGTGCAAGATTGCTAAGAGATATTCCTTTTGCCTTTTGGGGCACCTTGTTTGTATTGCTTGAAACAGAAT